AACAGCTGCAAACATCCATTCATAATTGGAATGTGGAATGTACAAAGAATGAATCTCAAAAAACTGAAAGCTGCCAAAAAATAAACTGGAATGCATAAAAATTGATATCTTAGCAGTAGTGAGCTAAAATGGACTGATATTGGTCACTGTGAACCAGAAAAATTATATGGTTTACTGTGCTGGCAATGACAAATTGAAACAGAGTCATCAAAAAGAATATTTCAGGATCTATCCTGAAGTACAGCACTTTCAGTAATAGAATGATATCTATATGCTCCCAAGTTAATACAACTATGATTCATACACTCCAAACACAAAAGCCAAGATAAAGAAAGAAAAGATTTTCACCAGCTTCTCTAGCGTAAAGTTCATCAAACATACAGGCAAGCAAGATGCACTGATAATTACTGGTGATTATAATGCCAGAGCATGAATCAAAGAAATATCCACATGAGCAAACACAACCCATTGCCGTCAAGGCAATTCCTCCAGAGTCGGTCTCCAAGGATGTAATTCTTTACGGGAGCAGGCAGCAGCAGCCTACAAGGGGCAACCAGTAGTTCAAATGGGCGAACTAACATGTCAACTCCTATGCCACCAGGGCCCCAAAGAAACATCAAACAAACAAACTCACTGCCATCAAGTCAATTCTGACTCATGGTGGCCCAATAGGACAGGGTAGAACTGCCCCTGTGGGTTTCTGAGACTAACTCTTTGCTGAAGTAGAAAGCCTCGTGTTTGTCTTCCATAGAGCAGCTGGTGGATTTGAAATGCTGACCTCGTGATTAGCAGCCCAATGCATAACCAAATTGTGAAGTGAAAAAGCTGGGCAGATTTCAAAAGGCAGCTCTAAAATACAAAGTAAAGTACCATCCTGGAGTTTCTAAAGACTTGGAGTTAGAGAACCAAAATGGAGGAAGACACTGGACATGACTCAAGCCAAAAGCGCTGGGGGTGGGGGGTGGAGTTCAAATCTTGAGTTGCAATATTCAAGAATTCTATGTATAAAATATAGAATCTCACAGCATGCATCAGTAGAAGATGGAGAGAATACACTGAGTCCTATACCAAAAAGCATTGGCTAATAGTCAACTATTTGGGAGCATAGCAAGAACCAATAGTTATGAAGGAAGAAGTCCCAGGGTGCACTGAAGACACTGGTGAAAAACAAGGTACCAGGAATTGATGACTACCAGTTAAGATGCTCAAGAAATGGATTCAAAGTTGGATGCACTCGCTTATCTATGCCAAAAAATTTGGAAGTTAACTACCTGGATAACCAACTGGAAGAGATCCATGTTTGTGCTCATTCCAAAGGAAGGTGATCCAACAGAATGTGATAATTATTAGACAATATCACTAATATATGCAACTAAACATTTACTGAATATAATTCAAAAAACTGCCAGAGCAGAATGGAAACTGGGAACATCAGATGTTCAAGCCTGACTCAGAAGACGTGGAGTGAGGGTTATCATACCAATGTCACATGGATCGTGGCTAAAAGCAGAACATACCAGAAAGGTGTTTACCTGTGTTTTAGTTACTGTGCAAAGGTCTTTGAGTCAAAACAAATTAGGCATCACATGACAAAGAATGGGAATTCCAGAACACTTCATTTTGCTCGTGTGGAACCTGCCCCTGGTCTAAGAGGCAGCCATTCAAACAAAACAAGGCATATGGTGTGGTTAATATCAAGAAAGGTCGGTGTCGTGGTTGTATCCTTTAACCATATTTATCCACTCTGCATTTTGAGCAAATAACCCAAGAAGCTGGACTGTTTGGAGAAGAAGGTGGCATCGGGATTAGAAAAAGACTCATTAACACCTTAAGAGCTGCATGCAGATGGCACAGCCTTGGTGGTGAAAGGGAAGACCACGTGGAGCACTGACCGATGATCAGCGCCCCCAGCCTTCACTAGGGGTTACAACTCGACATGGAAGCAACACCATGAAATGGGGGTGGGGGGTGGGAATTGAAGTTGTCAATGAATTCATTTTACTTGTCTCTAACAACTGGTACCCATGGAAGCCCACATCCCCTGCCCACTGCCATTAAGTCAATTCTGACTCATAGCAAACTGTATAAGTTTTTGAGCCTGAAAATCTTTACAGGAACCAGTAACCTCATCTTTCTTTTGCAGAGCAGTGGGTGGCTTTGAACCCTTGACCTTGTGCTTAGCATTTCAATGCTTACCCTACAGCACTACCAAGACGAATGGAAGCTACTGTCAATACATCAAAGGATGATTCATTGCACTAAACAAATCCGCTGCAAAACTTTTTTAAATGTTACAAAGCAGAGCTGTCACTTTGAGGACTAAAGTGCACCTGACCCTAGTCATGATACTGTTCCGTCCCTCCTATGCATGGGGATACTGGAGAGTGAGTAAGGAAAACCAAAGAAGAGTCGGTGTGTTTGAATGAGCGTCTTGGTGAATATTACATTTCCCAAGAGCTGCCAGAAGAAGGAACAAATCTGTCTTGGAAGAAATACAGCCTAAATGTTCCGTGGAAGTAAGCATGGCAAAACTTGGTCACACCTACTTTGGACACGCAATCAGGAGAGATCCATCCCTGGAGAAAGGACACCATGCTGGGTAAAGTAGAGGGTCGGCAAAAAGAGGAAGACCGTCCAAGAGATGGATTGACATTGATTGACAGACACAATGGCAGCAAACGTGAACTTGAACATAGGAAAGACGATGAGGATGATGGCAGACTTTGCAGTGTTTCCTTCTGTTGTACATAGGGCCGTTATGAGTCAGAACCAATCAACAGCAGCAACAGAAACGGATAATTTACTACCACTCTTGATTGTAACAGTAGCATTTTTAGTGGAATCTGATGGAGGACTGATTCTTAATTAGTGCCCCGAAAAATGAAAAAAAGGAACCCTGGTGGCACAGTGGCTACTAACACCTTGGACTAACCACAGGGTTAGCAGTTCAAAATCACCAGCTGCTCTGCTGGAGAAAGAGGCTTTCTACTCCCATAAAGAGTCACCGTCTTGAAAGCCCAGAAGGGCAAGTCTTCCCTGCCCAATAGGGTCGCAATGACTTGGAAATGACTCAGTGGTAGTGAGAGAAAAATGAGGAAAGTTAACACCTCCTGTATCTACTTGCTAACGTAAAGGGGAAGATCATGAAAGAATGAAATAGGCCAGTGTTGAAGGGTTGGGAGGTTTTCCTGTTTGATAATTACTTTCTTATGAAGCATCCATGAGAACATGGAAGGATAGATAGACAGATAGCTAATCTATATTATCTAAATGACATAAGTACTGTTAGTGTCAGGGAGAATCACAAAAGCTAGTGTTAAAAACTGTAGTATTAAAGAGTATAACTCTTGATATAGTTGTAAGTAGTGTAAAACCCGTATTGTGCATTTTGTAAACAGATAATTTGGGGGTTTTTAGGGCCATAAGGGTACAGATCAGTGTACCACCAGGTTTCTGTGCATTTTTTTTTTTAACTTAAAAACATGCTGCTGGCTGGCTCAGTGCTTCGGGCTCTTGCCACTGTTTGAGAGAGAGATCAGAAATTGTCCAAGAGTTCCCAGATGGTGTGGAATCAACTTCCACTAATCACAGCCGTGTTTGCCTGTGGTACATCTTAATGTATGAACTTCAAGCCCCAAAGAATCGTCTGTTTCCTCACGCTTCCCAGTTGGACAGGAATAAAATCGACTGCCACATCACAGTCTTTCATAGAGTCTGCAGATCACTAAGTCTGTTCATGGACGCATCCGAAGTGAAAGAGTTCTTTCTCCCCCCGTGCAGGTAATAGGTTGCTGGTTGCACCTCTGTTATTGTTTGGAGTAGACAGATAGACCCTTCCGTGGGGGCAGGGGTGGGGGCGGTTGGTGATTTTGCTCAGGGGGCCGAGTTCCAAGAGAAATGCTCTGAGTGAAATGTAGGTGCAACGTGCTTCTTTTTTCTCATCTGTGACCCTCTGCCTGGGTGGGCGGGTAGGCAGCATAGGTCCCGCAAGGCTCCGAGCCCCCTGTGGGACTGACCCTTAGTCACATGAGGTCCTTTCCTCCTCGCCTGGCTGTGCAGTGGGGAGTCTGCGTTCTTTCTTCACAGGTGTGTGGTGAGGGATAGTTAATTACCAGCTCTTTGAAGATGAAAAGCACCTGTTGATGACTCTTCGTACACCTTTCAGGGTGACTAAAGACAGATCTTTAAAAAAAAAAAAACACTATCCAAAGAAAAGAGGCTTTTTCCGACCCGAATCATGACAATAATGCCCCTGAGAGCAGCAGTAAGATTGTGAGCGGGTATTTGTTTCCAGAGAAGGGCGTGGCCAAAATAAGTATAAAATATTTCCACTTCAGTGTTTGGAGCTTGGCGACTTAAGAATTTAAGAATATCTTGCTTTCCGCCAGCCTGCAAATATACACTGAAGTCAGACTCTGTAGGATTGAAACTGCTGCCCCACCCCTCAACCCCACACACAGCCTGTGCTTTGAATGGATCAAAGCAGTGGTTCTCAACCTTCCTAATGCCACGACCCTTTCATACAGTTCCTCATGGTGTAGTGACCCCCCCCCAACCATAAAATGATTTTCGTTGCTACTTCATCACTGTCATCTTGATATTGTTAGGAATCGGGCGACCCCTGTGAAAGGGTCGTTCGATTCCCAGGTTGAGAAGCGCTGGATTAGAGCCTCTAGACCTGGAGGGGCCGGGGAGGCACCATGATATGGAACATAGGTAACAGTGAGTCCTGACACTTGAAATGAAGGCCTGTGTCCCCTACGAAAACGCGCGCTCCGTCCTGCGTGCAGTGCTAACTGGGGGACCCCAAACCAAACGCCCCCTCCTGTCTTGGCAAGTGTGAAGTCTATTGTTTGGTCCTGCCGCATTTAAGTATATGCTCTGGAGTTTTTCTAGATTTGCAGGGGGTGTCAAGGTCAGAGGGAATTGGGAGAAAACCATGCCATTACAACCTGATAAAGTATAAACTCCTTTTCATTGTTGTTTTTGTTTTGTTCTAGTGTGAAAAGAACTGAAACAAAAGGCGGCATTGTGAGCAAATCGCCGAGCAACAGGGACATTGTGGGAACATCTAGTGACTCAGAGGGAGCCAGGAGGAGGGGTGGCTGGTGGTGAGGCTCCGTCCAGGCCCCCATCCCGATCCACGAGACCAGCAGAGGATTACATAAAAGCAGCTGGGAGCCACTGGGGGCTTCCTGTTCAAACACTGGAAAATGTTCATCAGACACAGCCGGAAGATACTAGCAGCCAGCAAAAACCTCATCCTGGGGAGCGCTTACAGACAGGGCTTCTAAGCAAGAGCCCTGTCTGTAGCTGTGAGTCAGCATAACCAGGTCCAAGATAAAGTCCACGAGTGGCCAAAGTAAAATAGAAACGCAGGAACCGCGGCTCGGCAGAAGGCTTCGACCACCACAAGAGAGTTTCTCTTGGAAGTGATCGAGTAGTCCCCAGAGAAAGCACCGTGGAAAAAAACCCAAAAGCAAGGTTGTCAAGGTTGTGTCAGTGTTAAGAGTTGTCTGCTTACTTTTGAGACAACATTTGGCAAAAGGCCACTTCTCCTGAGGAGTAGCCTGGTTTAGAAAACCTCTCTCCCCACGGAAAATAACCCAGGGCAGTCACAGCAACCTGATTCTGCCCCGGGCCCAGAAGGAGCACCCATAAGGTGCGTCTCCTCGCCCCTCGTTGCAGACTGCTCAGGGCAGCCCCGCTGAGAAAGAAAGACCGTCGTCAAGAGGATCATCAAGGAATTGGAAGTCTTCTTTTACAGAGAAAGCACCTATCTGTCATAGGGTTACCTTTCCAAGCAGGCCCCTCTAGGAGGTTACTGGCTTATTCTAACAGCACCGGTGCTGGCTCCTTGTGCTTTCTAACCGGCTTCAGAAATTACCTCCGTGAAAATGAAAGGATGGATTTTGGCCTCCTTGGGGATGACACCTGTTTGTGGACACTCTGCATGAAGAAACCAAGCCTGTGCCTCTTTGAGATTTTCTTGTGTAGTCCAGCCAGCCACTGCCCTGGGTAAAGATGTCGCATGGTACTGCTGTTCAGTTCCTGGCAGAGAGGGCACAAGCCACCCCCTGGTTCCTTCGCCTGAGTAGGGAAGCAGCAAAGGAGCAGCTAGTGGTTCTCACGGGCTGGTCACCCCAGACCTATGGGATGAGACACCAGGGGTGAGATTCTGGTGCTTGCTCAAGTTTGAGAGCCATGCGGATCATGAGACTCTTCAGCCTGGCAGCCATGCTCCTCAACGGGGGATCACGTATGCACACATATACCTCCGGGCTCCCTCAGACCTCTGAAACATCTGGAACTCCGCATAGTCAGCGACTCTGTTCCCAGGTTCTCCAGCATGGCAGCGAGCAGCATCCACAGAACTAGTGCCCCACGAATTGCCACAAGTTTGAAGTTAATTGGTCCCAGCATTACAGGAAGTCATAGGAGAGGCTTGTTCTTGCTTGTAGGTCAGGCTTTTGCCTGTCCCTGCCTTGACCCCATCTCCAGGATTTTGGTTAGGTTCAAGATGGACCAGAGCCCAAGGGAAATGCAGGAGCCGGATGGTTTTCTGTTTCCCATTTGGAGAACTTTACAGGCAGTTAAAATTTCGAAACAGGAGACTTCCATTTGTAGTGTGTCCCATTGATGTCTCCACCAGGCTTGCTGGGATGCCACATGGTGAATCCTCGCAGTGCCTGATTTGGATGCACATTTACCAAAGATTTTCTTAATTTCATCCAAACATAGGAAGAACCTTTATTCATATTCCAAGGCCACCCATCTGCTTAGTAGTGCCTCCTCTAATAATAAGGAAAATCAAGTATGTCCTCCAAAGTTTTGGAGTTAGCAGAAAAATAACCCAGAAAAAGCCCCCCAAAATGGAATAGAGGCCATGTAGGTTCATGCTTCTGTTCGCTAACTACCACTATATTTCTTTCGTTCTGCCCAGCTCTCCCCATGTCGCCTTTTCCCCCTTGTAGCATGAGCCCCTATAGGAGCCCCCACCATATTTTAGGGCATCATTTGGGGTCATGGAATTTTGGCTTGGTCACCAAGCCGTGGATATAGGTCTGTTTCTTAGCCCTCCAAACCTTGCCAGGAAACCTCTCTCTTCTCTAGAGTGCAAATCTCAACACCTGCTTAAGCAACGTGACCCCATGCTGTTCCTCTCCTCTCCGCCCATCCCCTCCTACCTGGTCACCTCTTCCCAGATTATCCCGGTCGGAGGACTCTATGGAAGAAGCAGTATCCCAGCAGGTTCCTGACACAGTAGCGCTGATTGTGTCCAGGCAGCAGGGGTACAGAATCAGAACCTTCTGAGAGCATCCATTTCCACGGCCCACTCTGTAACCAGATCCCAGATGTACCCGTCACTGAAGACGGGACCGCACTGTGTCACTGGGTCCTCTGGAACAGAAACAACCGTTAGAAGAGTTCAATCCGGGAGGACACAAATCAACCCAGGGGACCAGCTAAGAAACACCAAGTCCCCTGGAAATGAGTCTAGATCAAAAAATAGGGCACGACCAGAATAGTCGCTGCTGCCCGCCCCAGAACCCCGAGGAAATCCTGGAGCTGGAGCCACTAGACGAGAGTTTTATTTAATTAATGCAGCCTGGCAAGCAAACCCAATACTTTTAATGATTTTCTGTCAAGAAAATCTTGGCACTAGAATGCCGGTATCTTGGGGGATGTAACAAAGACTGTCCTGTAAGAGGGAAATGGCGTCTTTGGTTGTGAGGGAATGCGTGTTCTTTGTCACAGCCGCCATGCACAGGGGATTTCAGCGAGGGACCTCACAGGAACAGCGTGCAGCTCCTGCACATCAGCATGCGTTTGAGAATTTTGCCTTTAAACATTTTCCTTGAACATGCCTGAACTACCCTTGGTTCTGTTGTTACTCCCGTGGTGACATGTTGGTTTGGGGATATTTGGACACACATAGGGGAAATAGATACCAGGGTTGTTTTGTGGTTGTTATTGCTTATTTTATGGGAAATGAAGGGCTCCTTACTATTGGAAATGATACATTTCAATAATCTTCATATTTTCTAAGCCAAAAAGATCAAGTTCTTCAGCTACTTTCTTAATTCCTTAAATCAAATGTATATCCTATCCAAGTGTCAATGACTTTGATGTTAAGAGGAAATGTTGCTGATTTGATTAATGTTTTCACTCTTGACTCCCATGTCTTTCTCAATGGCAAGACTTCTGAGGCTCCTCATGAGCTTTTAAATGACTTTTTAATAGATTGATGTCACTTTTTAAATATCCATAAGCGAGAAATGTATGGGTAGCACCAATATGATTTTCCTTTTTTTTTATGGGCAATTTTTTTAATTATACATTTAATATGGTTGATTAATGAAAAATCACAATGAAATGCCGATAAGATGTTTGTCAATATAAAAATTTTAGCAGCATTTCCATAGTTTCAGGTTCTGACATGTGTCGGTCTTCTCGGCCCCTGTCCCACCCATCAGTAGAGCCTCAAGATGTTCAGCTTCGGAAAGGCCTCAAGGAAACCCTCAAATCCAGTGTGCTCTCTAGTACCTCAGGCCCCCACCCCAGGGGAATTTCCAGAATGGCAGAGCCTATTCCAAAGCCGCATCCCTGGCTTCCGTGTTGGAGACAAGACTTCTGCTCCGCAGGCTGTAAGCGCAGATGGGGTGGACCTTTAACTGGACACGATATGTAGTGTTTAATCTGGCCCCCAGCCTGCAGACCCCCACCTGGAGGGCGGTGGGGATGGGGGTCCATGTTGTGGCTGGGGCAGTGATTTTCCTTTTGTTATTACTGCTGGGGATTACCTGTCACCCAGATATGGCTACAAGTGGTTAAAAACTACAGCAAGCTTTGGGGAGGAAGGCGGTGGGTGTGGCATTTCTCGAACCTCATTTTAATCCTAAAATAAAATAAAATACACACATCTGTCTCTGGAAAGTATATTGCACTTGATCCAACCAAGGCCCATGAAGAAACCTCTCTGTTTGGTATTATAGAAAATATAGCACATGTCTAAATGAAAATCTCAGGTTCTGTCTTAGGAACACCCCAGTGGGGTCACAGCCAATTGTCTGCTTTCGGTGTCGGATTTCAATTTGACCATGGATTGTTGTGCACAGCCGACCAGGGGCCTTTATTTCAGAAAAACTTCAGGGAAGGAAATCTGTGCCCAAGAGAATGGCCTGGGATCACAGTGTCGTGATTCTCAGCTTCCTTTAATTCTTTCTTGGCAAGACCTGCTATAATATTTCCACAAAATTTTTGCGAGTGGCCTTCCTTTTGAGGTAAAAAGTCGCTTACCTAGGAGCCAAAAGCATCCCTCGTCAGCATGCTTTGACTTGAATATGGAAATAATTTTCAATTCTTTTTTTTTTTTCTTTTTCTCGGATGAGGAAATTTCCATGCTTGGTTTGTCAAGACAAGAGAGTTTATTCCTTGTTATTGAAACACTAATGAAACACGTTGGAGCAAGTTAAAAAAAAAAATCAAAATTAAGCTGATTTCTTTTAAATAGTTTAAAGCCTTCCTTAGTACAAAATAAATTAAGCATTATAAAATGAAGTTAATTCAGGTAATTACTCAGTACAAAGTCTGACCATATTGGATATTCCAACTTAAGGGTATAATTAAATCCTCAGAAATTTGCAGAACTCCCTCTCATTTGGATTCTATATTAACAAAAAGGGAACAAATATTTGTCAATGTGGAGATTACCAGGGGGGACTTGGATGAATGAAATTATTTTCTTTAATCGTCTGGAATCACTCAGTTCTTGGCTGGATTTAATCATATTCACATTTGTTTCGTGATGCAGCATACTACTACATGTATTTCCTTGTGATTGCCATGATCGTTCTTATGGAACGTCTTGGTCTCTACCTAAAGAAATCAGAGGAGCCATACGTTTGACGGGAAAATCACTGCTGTGGGAATTTCATGGATTCCCTAGGAAAGCTTTCTTCAATCCAGTTAGAAAATCAGTCCGTGGCAATGGCCAAGCGAATATCCCTCCTTTGGCTCTGTCCTCTGTTTCATTCTAAACGACTTCATTTAAATAGTTTGCTGTGCCTACAGACTGCCCTACCAAGTAATGCACACAAACTTCTGGTCTGAATAGAAAAGCAAGAGGATTTAAAATTGTAGTGTGTATTCATTTTTTTCTTCATATCAAATGAATTGGCCCCAAGGAAAATATACCAAAATGCCCTTTTCCAAACATGCTACTTAAAATTTGTTCCATTTATTAGAACTTTTTCCTTGTTGCAATTTTGAGGTTTTGACTACGTTGTTAAAATAACCAAAGAAACCTTACATTTGAGCCGTGTAGGTATGAAAAAACAACAACAGTGTATGATGCTGTGATTAAATTAGCCTCTAAGATTTGGGAGTGCTCCTTAAACTGTGGGGTACTCCCACTTCTGCTCCCAATGGTGAACTTGGACAGACCTCTTGTGAATGTTTAAAAATAAGTGTGCAGTGTGTGACCTTGACTCCTTTCCAGGGAATCTTGACGTTTCCCAAGTGAATCCATTTCCTATGAGACTCTAATCCTTATTCAGCTGACTCTTTGTCTACATTGTTATCAGTACCCCCAAAGCTGCTCTGGTTCCCTGCAGATCATGTACACCATGTTTTAGAAACATTTCACTGTCTGATTGGAATAGCACATGAGCATAGCCATCCATTAAATTCTGAGAACTGTTGCCTTTGATGAAACAAAGATCTCTTCTTTTTGGTCTTTGGATCATGGCAACATATTTCCCAACCAACAGGAAGGACTTTATCCTTGGGCCTAGGGCATGAGCTGGGTATCCAGAGACTACAAGCAGAAAACCCTGGATCAAGGCCACTAATTTGCCATTAATAGGTTTGTGTGATTTGGGACAAGTCCTTTAACCTTTTTGATCACAATTTCTTCAT